AAGTTTAATTTTTTTCTCATTTCTAAGTTTTCACTAGCGTCTTGTGATATTTTCAGTTGCCTCGATATGCTGTTGCGATTACTTTTGCTTTGGTTTCACAACACTCCATCGAAAAGCACTTTATTGCGAGGTAACGGTAATCCTTAAAAAAAAAAGCCTCATTTTGTTTATTACGACCGATGGAGTAAAGTTATATTGGGTTTCTTCTCTAAAATGGCGAATGAGATTGAAAGTCTTTAACAAGGAAAGAAAAAACGAATCCTCACAGTAAGAAAATAATGGCACAAATAGAGCCTACTGTCTGCATAAATAATTTGAGGTTGAATTTATTATGGAATTGTTTAAACCTGGCATTAAGTTTAGCCGGGGCAAAGGATAATAAGGAAAAACCAATAAGTACAAAGATATCAAGGCCGATAAAAAATACTTACGCATGCAAAAAAAAAACTTGAAAAAAAAGGATATGAACACTTTCTGACGAAAATTAATGACGTCAAAGCACAATATTGCTTGAATAGTTGTAATTGTGAACGCCAGCGTAAAATGTTAATTATGTTAAAGACCATGATGAAGCTCAAAGCGTAATTGTTTCATATCTAAACGTCATTTTTTAAGTATGTCATGGCTAAATATCATAAAAACGCTCTCTGTAGCAATACTCTTCTCGAGAGTCAGCGAGGAGATCCGATTGGTCGAGCCTCTTCTTTCTCAGTACACCAGATTTATTCCCGATTTATTCCTTTGTCAAACCTCAGTAATGAAAACGTCGATCAGCAGTTATTCAAGGTGAAATTTAAAAATTGCTTAAAACTCATCGTTAAATATGTTTGCATTTGATCTAGTGTCAATTCGAACACTAAGGAAGGTCAAAAGACAACGTCAGATGACTTTGTCGCCGTATTAACTGTGATGTTTCCAAAAAAGGAATAGGCATCTTCAACACTCACCATGGCATTGAAACGAGATTTCTTCCCAAGATGACGTCGTTTTAAATAAAAAGTTAAAAGCGAGCCTGACTGTTGATCTCAAAGCTAAGAGCTTGGATTGCCAGAGCACCATTATGGGAGCAACATTTCGAGATAATGTAGAAATTATAAAATGAACGTTTCACGTCATTAAACAATGCTTGTGTATTAATGATGGTTTGATATAAGACAGCGGGAGAATGACAGATAGAACATTACATCGCAATTAAAAAAGTGTTTTTTTTAAGGGGTGGGGAGTCGGTGGTTAAATTAGGCGATATGACAGCGGAAAACTATCATCATTATCATTGTCATTATATAATTTTCATTATCATTGTTATCATCACCTAACTTGTTTAAGAGTTACTAGGGTTTTTGCGATACTACAGAGAAAAGTTAGAAAACCAATATAATGTAGGTAATTTTTCGTTGAAGTTGTTTTCTTTTTTCTTCATTAATTTAAAGGTTAACTACAAACTCTTGCCCCCTGTAGTTTGGTAGGCAAGAGAACAAGAAGGGTAACACTACTCTTAGTCACTAACGATAACAAAAAGCTGCAAACGAGAAATACAACGTAATAAATTTACCTGCTATTTACACAATAAGATTGTGGTTTCTTTCGATTAAATGAGAACGGTACATCAATATTTCTTGCCTACAGCATTTTCTTTGGCTGTTTTTTTTTTTACACTGGGCTCAGCCAGGTGCGAAATACACAAACAATAGTTCATTATGCCCCTTTGCCTCCGGCTAACTTCCTTTCCTAGTCTCCTTAATAAGCATTTGGATTCCAGTCAATAATATTCAACAAAAGTCTCTTTTGTCAACCTCTCGAAGGATGTTTCGCGGTGGATTGTGGCCAAACTCTACAATTAATTTGTGAAACAAAAGTGTTCCTCCGCATGCTGAGGAAGCAGAAAAATAACTTCATTAATTTTCGTGTGATCGACTTAAAAGCTAGCATATTCAGATCAATCTCGTTAACATGACGTTTGTTTTTATCACGAAAGTAATTAATTTTTACAATAAACGTCTTGATGATACATTTCGCCTTTGTCACTGTACTGCAATCGTGGTAGTTTTACTGAGGTTCACTTCAATGATTGGCTCCTGACTTTTAGAATGATGTACAGGTCTATAGCGTTACCTTACCCACGCGCTGATGCCATTTCCACCTCTGTCCTCAAAGATCACGTCGAGAGCAGTTTTTGCACTCACACGAGCGAATCTGGGAAACCACTATGGATTTCTCACATCCTTCGCCAAGTTTCACAGTTTTCTCTTTAATATCTTTCGGTGTACAGCACTGGCATGAAGTTTTAAATCTCGGCTGGCTATCTTCTCGCTCGATGGGAAGTGGGATTGCGTACGACTCACACGTTCCAACACACATACCCAGTTTTACCCTCGTTTTCCTGCAGTTGTAACCATCTTTCACCGAAATTACCTCTTTGTATCTTTTATAGCGGCACATGTGCGTGGACGTAATTGGCTTCTGGAAAAGTTGGAAGGCAAGGATGAACAACCAAATCGCAACCAGATGGATATACTTCGGCATTATCTGTTAACAAAACAATAAACATTTCATGCTTTATCTCTTAATTATGGATCATTTTATGTCGCAATACTTCTGGTATGTTAGATGCTTACAGATGGATTAAACATAACGACATTTAGAAGCTTGCATTGCCGTGACAATTGGGTCACTAAACAAGAAAAGCACTTGATTCCAAATAGACACGTCAGCCCGTCGACAGAAGGGCGCCGATTTATGCGAACCTAACCAAAAAACTTCACAACGAGTGCAAAAATCTTGACCCAATATCTACGTGATGCTTTAGCGCTACTACATTCTGGGTTCAAAATATCTGAGTGAGTGGTAAGATAAGCCCTCAGGACAAATAGCCCATCCAATATCTCACAGGTGTCAAACCTTTGAAGTACCTTGTAAAATGTGGGTGAGCACAAGCGGACATAAAGCGTGAGCGAAGAAAAGACGAATTGTCTGAATAGGACTTTGTAATAACGCATATGTTAGTCCACTGTTGGGTGGCGGACGAAACTAATGGGCCAATAATAACCTTTTGTTCATCTTTCACCCTTGTACTGGCTCTCTTTCACGCCTTCAGATTCGCACAACAAACTAGCGGTATTATAACAAATGCAAACAACACAATTTGATACGAACAATGGAAATTTCACACGTATATTAGCACAAGTCAGTCTCTCACAGGATAACCGACAGCAGAGGCACTGCAGTGCCACGACCCGGAACACGGTGATTGTTACCTACTTCATGTGGTGGCAATTTTGCTGGTTTGATGTACAGAGAGACAATACATGCAAATATAAGGTGCCTTATTCTCGTTACCCTCTACCACGATACCTAATCTACACTGAAACGAGAACATAGATCTTGATCACTAACTGCAATAATAATGGAAGCACAGTGTCAAATAAGGATTGATCACAGATCACCAAGTTTTCAAAACATCAGTATATTTAATGATCCCTGGAGGTAAACAAGAACACACTTTTCACTTGCTATTTAAAGAGATGTGTATTGGTTTGTCTGCAGTGTTAAGACCCCTTCGGAACGGCGACCGCGGACAAGAGGGCAGTCCCCCCTGGGTGGAAGAAACGTTTTTTTCCTCAAATTTTGAAAATTCAAATTATTTAAAGTAAACTGTTCCGTGATTAGTTAAAAGCTCTTCGAGAGCCGAATTGAGGGCCTAAGGGAAAAGTCTAAGTTGAATGCGTGCTGATAAAATGTAAGTTATGCGGATAACAAATCTCTATAAATTATTTTGCAATTTTATTTAGAAGGACAAAGAGGAGAAATGTTCATCTGAAATTGAATTGACTACAAAGGTATACTTCTTATCCTACCACATAAAAGTAATTATTGATTTTCATTATCATTACCATTTTTTTTCTCCCGAACTGTGATCCAATGGTTTGGAGTTCCTATACAGTTTCTTTTTCTTGTAATCAATTCAAAACCAGCTCATTGTTTTACCAAAAATTTGTCGCCATATACATGATGACGAACACAATGACAAACATTGTTGATGAGGTTTTAAACGTTGTAATTACATATCAACCAGTTGAAAAGTAAACAACACAAACCAAAGAAATCCTAACAATTAACAACAAATAAACAAACAAATAATACGCGGGTAACGAAAAACTTCAAAACAAGTAGTCAGCTAGCTCTTTATAGTCAGTGCTGAAAATAGCCAACGAAACAAAGAACTCAAGTTGCTCTACCTTTTGGGGAAAGAAAAAAAATCCAAGTGACAGTACTTAGGAGATGTATCCGTCATGCCAGAAAAAATCAAATTCAACGAAGGAGCCAGTATCCAACGCCTACGATAATCACTTATATTGAGGTCGTAGCTAAGTGTACAACTTAACACGTGCACAACTTAACACGTGCACTGCGGACAAACTTACATAAATACGTAAGTAGACACGTGAGAAGACACGTGAGTGAAATACGATAATTGACATCACGTTTGCTCCCGCACTCCCGATGATTTTTGGCACGTTTGGTAAGATAAAGTTGAAATGCTCAATTTGCGAGCCTTTTCTTAAACTACTTCACGGCAATCGCAAATGGTGCACTTAAGCTGAGCAGCCTTTACCAATCTTTACAATATAGAGCCACTCAAAACCGTGTAATTACATTGATTTTGCGCTGTTCCGGTGCTTTCAACGAAACGGTTTGGTAAAATAAGGAAAAATCCTAGTGAGTTTTCATCTCACACTTTAGCATGAATTTCGTTCGTCAAAATATCTTTGCATGTTAGGTATGGTTCTGATACAAGCACTTGGAGATAATGGAAGGCTTTAAACCATAGACAAAAAAAAAACTGGAATAAGCTGAGCACACAAAAATATAGCCGGTTTACATGCCTTACATGTATCTTCAAGTCTAAATGCCAGATCTTAAATGATAAACAATGAACTTAAATTCTTTCCACACTGACCAATGACTATAGAGGAATAACACCGTGTTTTTTTCTTATTTAGAACATAACGATTTTTTCTGTGGCTGACGACTACCTGCACAAGCTGTGCGACAAGAAGTATCAACTAGAGTGAAGGATTCAAACAAGCCATTCTGAAAATTTCATAGAAGCGGCCGTAACAGTGAACCATATATCAGTTCTGCTAGGTAAAAACACTGATAACGAAAGTGACAGAAACTGCTAAAAAGATAGAATCCCCCCAAGTTCAACAAGAAAAAAAAAGTCCATCCGGCAGAAATCTTGCTCTGATCCACTTCACGTCTTTTCTTTTCCCCGCAATACGCGTCATAGCCTGAACTAATTAAAAATACTTTTCAGGGCCCATTTATATGGTGTGAGTATCCGAGACAATCTTTCCCAAGCCGAGCTAACTTTTCACGTATTCTTTGAAGAATTCAACCAACCGTCCGCATCCTTTAATTTTTGGCTCCCTTGCAATTTCAATCGCACTCTCTCAATTGGATACTTCATGGATACGCGTCAAAGCTTTTATTACTTGAAAATAAATTTAGTCTTGATTGTTTAGGTTCATCTCTCAACACTCTTAACTATCCTAAGCTAATTTGGTTTTATCAGCTGAGTTGACAATGTAAATTGGCCACAACAAAGAGTTTTCTGAAGCTGACGTTTCGCACGTCAGTCCATCTCGCATCTTCTAATTAGGTACCCCCTCGGAAAGCATTATTTCATGGTTTTATTCCACTTTACCAGAAATTTAATTACGTTCATTTTAGTTCAGTGAGATGAAGAAAAGAAAAAACGAATTCATTAAATGGCTTTTAGTGACACTGTAAACCCTCAGCAGCGCTAAAACATAAATAAAGCACTGAAAACGACACGTCGACCCGAAATTGTTGCGCAGTAACTTACAAGCGTTGGAAGTAGAAGTGATATCTAACTTTGGGAGCAAATCAAGCATCACTTTGTAGATCATCACCTTCGTTTTAACCTGATCGATAGAAGTACAAGATAAACGTCCTCCAACACAATTTCCCTCAAATTTCGCTGTGACTTTTGCCCCCTGGAAAATTAACTTTCAAATTAACAACAAGGTGATGCATATACATTAATGTTACAGGCATGGCAAAAGAACGTGAGAAACGTTTACTGCTGCATTACCAGACTTTGATGTCATTGACTTGGACGTGTTATAGATTTTGGCAATACGAGAGATACCCATATTAGCCTTATCAAGTAAAAACAGGAGATATTTACCTTTCTGCGGTGTCTTGTACTACAACTTCTGATCATGCCCGACTAGAGACTTAACTGTTCCGGCGCTATCGAGTGAAAAACAACGACAACAACTCCGTCAACAAAGATTCAAAAGTGCAGTACCACTCTGTCAAAACTACTAAAGAAAGATTCTTCATCTAATTTCTTAACTGAAAGAACGGAAAAAAGCAAATTCACTTATTTCTCTTCAGCTGAAGAGAACTGCGTGCGAGCCATTGAAGGTCTGTCAGTACGAGGTTCAAGAAATGTGTGAGGTGCTTTTCTCGAAATAAATGGGCTTGATATTTTTTCTCAGTATGTCATAAACGACCAAAAACGAATGCTTTCAAAATGGAGAACAACAATAAAAACGACAATAATAATTTTACGTAAAAATAGTTTTGTACAGTTAGACGTCTACAGTAATCTCGAAGCATAGTTCGTCTTAATTGTAAATGTTTTCACTGCATTGACATATCCCCTTGAACCTCCTAGACGCGAAACAATTTCGTAAAAGTTCTTCCTACCTTTTCGCTCTTCACTTGCGTGATCTGAATAAACGGTAATTACAAAGGCAAACCACAGGCTTACTGTGGGGCTGAGTTCCTTTCAAACTGCGCGATCCAGTTCCGCGTCTCTTGAAGAAGAGCACTGTGCCGGACTCAGGGTTTAAGAAGTCAGTTTACAACTTACGGTACTGAAATGAAGAATTTTGGTCTCATGCGACGGAAGACTCACTTGCGTGTGGTCGTAAAATTTCGTCGTAAGATTGAAGTCAAGTATACTTCACTAAAAGAAGGCTAACCTTAAACGGTCGGGCATTACGGTCAACAACACAACAATGGTTATTTTTCTCTTTAACGTCGAGGTTTAAAACGATAGCCAATGGGGCTTAAGATAATGAACAATACGTCTCACTGTTGCGTGAAATTAAATAGTGGGTTTATTGATCGTGCTTTCTTCCTCTGGTTTAATTTATGTAAAGTAAATGATGTATTCACAGCACGTATCGGTGTGGGAAAATTCTTAAGAGCAAGCCTCAAGAGGCTCAGCCAATTAACTGCCATTGAAAAATGGTGCGAGCAAGTGCTGACATGACAATGTAAAACTTGCAAGACGTTGAGCATGTTTATCCTGTTCTGGATGCTTTCGATGCATTGTCTACATAATCAGTTAAGGATCAGTGAGTGCCAAAGAATCAATACGTCAAAACAAGTTTGCCCCTTTCTTGAGGAAAATGCGCCATTAGAGTACCAGATTTATTCTGAATATACACTGAGAACAAACTGTTGTAGTAAGCTTAGATCGTCACCTTCGATGAAAAGTATGGAAATTGTGGATGAACTTGAAAATCGACGTTACAGTTTCTTTTCGAAGACACTCTATACTGTGTTCTTCACCTCAAGTAACAGAATAAAAATAAGTTGAGTAATAACTCCAGTATGGTGTCAAAGCTTAATGAATAAAATCCGACTGAAGTGGTATTAGTTAGGATGGGCAAAAAGGTTAAGATTTAATTTCTTTGCAGTTTCAATATCTTGAAATAGATTGTGGCGAGTAAGGACATCATTATGACATCAACATTGCACGAAAGCCAAAAAAAGGAAACTTGGTAACTAGACGAAAAAGAGTCTGTTCAATGGGGACATGTAAGGTCATCAGAAAATGAATTACGAAGTTTAGAGAAAGTTAGTTTTCGTTTCATAAAAGTAAACAGTTTTGGTGCCTTCAAATATACTTTAAGTGCAATATAATAACCAACAGTGGCCACTCACACGCATTTCAAGTGGGCCAGATTTCATTTCTAGTGCTCAATTTAATAGCAATGTTTACCGTTTTTGCACGCTTAAAATTCTCATCATATTCTCTGAAGATGCCTATAACCAAGTAAATCTTACAAATATTGGGTGTTAGTTTTGTGTAGCAATATTTTTAGACCCATGGGTAGATAATGACCTCCACTTCGCTGATTTCAGGAAATCAAAGCTTTAAATCGCAGCTCTCAACGAATAAAGGAACAATGCAGGTAATTTCTCTCAATTGACATCTGAAGGATTACTCTCCCACTGTTAACTACAAACTGAGCACATTAACGTGAATGACAAAGGCTCAATTGTGTTCCTTCTGGGAGGCAAAAAGAAGCATGATTCAGCATTTCAAAAACTAGCGCCTAAACAAGGTCATCGCCCTCTTTCTGAAACTTCGCACAATATATGAACAGTTATTGACCATGTTCATGATAACGCTGTCTGCTAACATTCTACAGAGGCCCTTCCATGAAAACATCAATATCCCGCAGCATCTCTAAATAAGGAATTTGCTTCTGCCCCGCCTCTGCTACTGAGTAAGATACAGCATCTTTCAGAACTACACAGACCATAAAGAACGTTATTCAATCGAAACACTTCGATGAAAGTACTCGTGTTCAATGTCTGAGTTGTTAATGCGAAGTTATACCAGAGAGTGGCAAGGATGCAAAGAATTGATCGAAAGGTTTTTTCCCTTAAGGCGATCCCACACACGGGCCTTGCATGTGTATCCAAATGTTAGATACAGTTTACACTAGAGTGTCAAAGGTGGGAATGCCGTACAAATATTATAGCTTCCAGAGGTTATTTTTAACCAAGTTACTACCAGAAGAAAGATTTTCACTCCCTCCCCACTCTTCGTATTTCATCGAAATTTCGAGACTGCTTGGAAGGCCCTTAAAGGCATTGCAGACGGGAAGCCGGGAGCCAACAAGAAACTTCAGAAAATAGTCCCTTCTTTTTATATTGGTTAATCGAGGTTGCACGATTCACTCCAACGAATATGCTTTATATAGTCTCAGATGTAACAAAAATGATGATTGGATATTTGTTTTCGCGACACTATATTATTGTACAATGCCACCGGAATGTTTTTCAGTTTTATGTAATATATTCCTCAATAAAACGTGATAGTTTGACTATTTAAGGCTTGCACTTTTCTTAAAAGTGACGTCTAAAGTAACTCTGTAATGATGGACACTTCCTTTCTCCATTTTTTCACGAGCACTATGTATCTTTCTTTAGGATATGTACTTAAACTATTCTATATATATATATATGTGTGTGTGTGTGTATGTATATATATATATATATTTACAGTTGGTTCGGGCTGCAAGGCAAAACATGCACGATGAAACAGAAGTGTAACAATATACAGAAAAAAAATTCAGGTTCCTGGAGTTTCAGAATGCCTGCAACAAGTAAACGCAGACATGTTCGTATCTTGGTTGATCACAGGTAATCGTACACACCCAGAACGCTCACGTACTCGTTTCCACGTTGCTTTGCAACATTTGAAGTCTTACTCAGACAGCTGCATACTATTGCGTTATTCATTGTGATTGTCAGTTACAAATCAACTTTCAGAACCATTAAGGGCAAAGTTGGACGATCTTTGATGGTAGAGTTGTGGAGTATTATTTCAAGGTCCGATCTAAAAGTTAATCACCCCAAACAGAGTTGGCACCATCCTTAAGCTATTAAGTTGAGCTGTAAGTGACGCTCCGTAAGCTTTCACCGACCCAAGATCATCTTCTACTTTTTGCAATAAATTCTAAAATACAAGAAATATAATTAAGATTATTATATGTCAATTGTTGACAGGCTTAATATAAATTTGTAGATATATATTTTTCGCACTGGTTTAAGTTAAAGACTGCTAATAAATACCTTAAGCTCCTCCATATCTTTGTTGAGTGTCATGTTCTCCTCCTGTGACATGAGGACCACTTTTCTAAGCTCTCTCAGTTCCAGTTCTCTGTCTGCAACGAATCACTTTCAATTACTTGAACAGACTCGAAGCAGAAGGAAAATTATGGGCGAAATAAAGATGAAAATACAAAAGTGGAGAGACAAAACAAGGCAAAAAGACAGGGAAGGAAATGCAAATAAAATAACAATGAAAAATGTAAAAAAGAGCGAATGAAACAATAAAATAAGCAGAGCAGAAGGAAAAAGAAATAAAAGAAAAAACAAATGAAAAGCGTCTACATGTAGGGTGGGGCAATATATATTCGTGATGCTCATTAACAAATGAGCGAGTCAGCGACAAAAAATGAACCACTGAACGAGTGGAAAAAAATTGAATAAATAAATAAAACGTGCAGTGAGGGAGATGCACAAATTTCATTGAACAGGAGCAATGGGAGGAAACAGAGAAAATCAGAAACGGAAAGTAAACTATCTATTTTAATCTCCCCAAGAAGCCCCTTTCTCTTCAAAGACTTCCTCTCTATTTAGTCACTTCCCCTCTTCCAAAATGCCACATTTACTATTGCAGTCACAGTTATCATTATTTTATGTAAGGTACTTTTATTATTTCATACACGTGATGGTCTACTACATTCAACGTGACTGAATATGCCACAACATAAACTGAAGAATACTCGAATGAACCTCCCCTCATACCCGGCCTACAAAGATGTTTGTCCTCCTGAGTTCATATACATGTACTTACTTAAGTTTTGTTCCAAGAACTTTTCTGTAAACTGTGAGATAGACACCATTGATTCATCTGATATCAGTGATGTTCCTATAGTATCTGAGACAGTGTTACAAGGAGCCAGGTCAGGAGAGTCATTTGGAACTTTCTCTGTGCCGTTGGCATTTTGTTCAGCTTCACGTTCAAATTCGCCTGTAAGCATCAAAAGATGCTGTTTTCCAAATAAGTGTTCCTTCTTGTTATGTAAGGAGCTGAAGAACTGGTTGCAAACTTTGCAGTACAATTCATTGGAATCATCTTCCTAAAGAGGCAAAAGACACAGAACATTCAGAAACAACTTTATTTTGTGAAAAAAGTGACTGTGTCCTCACCCTCAAAAGTGGTTACTGTGAAGAGTGCTTTTCACCAGCCCAATTTTGATGTTTCAAATTCGGCCAAATACAAAAGACATCATTACTGGGCTCTAGAGAATAACTCCACAAACTCCCTACTTCTTATGCAAAGACCTACTGTTTTATGCTGAATTATAAAAACATAAAATTGGGCTATGGAGAATCATAAAACCAAAACAATGTAAGCCATCAAAACAAATCAAAAGACAAGGAAATTTGACAAGGAGTTGGATTATCACCTTAACTGCAGCTTTGCATAATTTACCCAAAGTGAAACTGTGACTGAAGTAAGCATGTAGGGGTGGAGTGAAGAGCAAATGAAGGTCAAATTTCCCACCCCTTTTTGCCCCTGCACTCCCAAAATGTTACTCATGATTCCTTAACACCCTTTAAAGATTAAAAAAGCTATAAAAAGCTATCATATAGAGGGTTGTGGAAACTGAAACTGTAACCAAAACCTGACTATAAGGGAGAAAGTCAAGTTTCTACCATTAAAGCCCTCTGGGATTCCACAATTAAACATGCACCAAAATGTTGTAAAGGTCACTTACCACTTGGTCACTTAACAACAAGCTAGACGGCACTTCTTCAGGGGTATCTACTCCTGAAATATGTGTACAAAAAAACCATTATTAACATTTGAAAATCCAGAGCATAGCTTGTGAGTAGTACTGTACATAATTATGATATATTAACTTGCACAAGCCAGATTGCCATAATTAAGCAGCAGTCTCTGTCTAAGTCAGATTTACAATATTCTTCCTTAATGATCACACATGAACCTTTGAAACTGAAGTTTGTACCCCTTAAATGCAGTCCCAAACATCAGAACCCACAATTTTATAAATGTTATTTTTTAAAAAAAAAAATTGAAAACTACCACACTGACTTCACATTAAAGTTTTCAATGGTAAATGTATGCAAAGTAAACAAAATCCTCAAAGTGTCCACTGGTTTACAAACATTAACATGTACATTATCATAAACACTGTCTGAGACAGATCTGGCAGTTAACAAATAAATTAAGAACATGGCTTACCAACAATGGACTTGAGTTTCTTGGCACTTTGTCTTTTTATGAATGCCTGGTACTGTTCAGATTGTTGATAAATTTTAAGCTCTTCAATGTAACGTTTTTTATCTTCCTCAGCTTCATCCAAGTATTTCTGAACATTCCAAATAAATGAAACAAAAGCTTAAAACATGATGTTACTGAATATGAAAAGAAACAGACAAACCCTAAGTTTCAGAAGTGAACAAATCTAACTAGGCAGCTCATGGTTTGAAATGTTTGTTTATGCCTAGTGCAACTTACTTTTTGAGAATAATTTTGTATCCATGACATATATATTTCTGACAGATCATTGATTAATGAGGTTTGTATGTGAAGTATTTTTGTGACCATTTTTCTTGACACATATATGTGCTGAGCAGTGAAAGTTTGCTGTCAAGCTCAAGGAAACTTGTGCTTTATTGTGCTTTACTTGAGAATACAAATGTACACGTACATGATTGTACATCGACAAGTACATTATTGGGTGAAACATGAAGGGATTGAATCACTACAGTGCTCTGTCCATAGAGAAGGATGGAAAGAAGAGAAAATTTTTGTAATCAGATGCACTGATAATAGGGGATTTAGTCATAAACATGCAAAATAAAACATGTGACCCTCCATATGATTTTAGGGACAAAGGTGATAGCACACTCACAACACGCTTCCACTTGAAAACAAAAGCTGGCTATTACATACTTGTTGAGCATGCTAGAGCACCCTTAAATTAGCACATGCTTTTGTTTCATATAACACACTACAAACAATAAAGTATGCTCTGTTGAACTATGAAGCGCGAGTGAGCGAACAGGCAAAGCATGTTAACCTTCAAATACAAAAGGTAGCGTGTGAGCGGACACAGCACATTAGCATGTACCATAGTATGCAGCCAACATGTTAACTGATCGTAAAGCTAGAGTGATCATTACACAGTCAATGTACTCTCATTCTTGCAGTAAAACTACTAGCCAGGTCAATTAAACTAAAGCTTGTATCAGTGTTTTAAAATTATCAACTTCCTGATCAAAAAATTGCCATAACACGTAGCCATAAATAGCCTAAACATTCATGTAAAAGCATAATTATTCCATCAGATGGCCTGAGCAATTTTAATGGGATGGTAAAAAAAACCAAAAGTGAGAAATTATGTCATTTTTCGATGACCCTCTGTTTCTGAGAACACTAGGAAACTCAAGCAGATGATAGTAATGCACTTAGTCACATGTTCAGTCATGTGCTCTAAATTAAATTCAATCAACACCATAAAAAATGACAAAAACCATCATAATCTTCAGAATTAGCACACATACCATAAAAATTTTGAATGAAAACACCATATGATAGATCTAAACTTAGCTGTAGAACGCTTCACTTTGATCGTGTTACTATAGGTACATGAAGAAGATATCCCTTTGTAATAACTTTGAAGCAACCGCTTGCATTGTGTGAAGGAATGGTGTTGATGTTGTACCTATAACGTGGATGTTTGGGAACTATACAGCGATGAAATTCATTTGACACACTCATTTGTGTAACAATATTTAAGCTTACCAATCACAATTGAGCACAATTGAAAAACATTTTAATGAACAAAAGCTGGCTATTACACGCTTGTTGAGCATGCTAGAGCACCATTAAATGAGCGTCATGCTATTTTTTCATATAACACACTACAAACAATAAAGTATGCTCTGTTGAACTATGAAGCGTGAGTGAGCGAACAAGCAAAGCATGTTAACCTTCAAATACAAAAGGTAGCGTGTGAGCGGACACAGCACATTAGCATGTACCATAGTATGCAGCCAACATGTTAACTGATCGTAAAGCTAGAGTGATCATTACACCGTCAATGTACTCTCATTATTGCAGTAAAACTACTAGCCAGGTCAATTAAACCAAAGCTTGTATCAGTGTTTTATAATTATCAACTTCCTGATCAAAAAATCACCATAACATGTAGCCATAAATGTCCTAAACGTTCATGTAAAAGCATATTCCATCAGATGGCCTGAGCAATTTTAATGGGATGGTAAAAAAAACCAAAAGTGAGAAATTGTCATTTTTCAATGACTCTCTGTTTCTGAGAACACTAGGAAACTCAAGCAAATGATAGTAATGCACTTAGTCACATGCTCAGTCATGTGCTTTAAATTAAATTCAATCAACACCATAAACAAATGACAAAAACCATCATCTTCGGAATTAGCACACATACCATAAAAATTCTGAATGAAAACACCATATGATAGATCTAGACTTAGCAGTAGAACGCTTCACTTTGATCGTGTTACTATAGGTACACAAAGAAGATATCCCTTTGTAATAACTTTGAAGTGACCGCTTGCATTATGTGAAGGAATGGTGTTGATGTTGTACCTATAACGTGGATGTTTGAGAATTCATTTGACACACTCATTTGTGTACCAATATTTAAGCTTACCCATCACAATTGAGTACAATTGAAAAACATTTTAATGAACAAAAAAGGTATTAAGCTTCATTTCATTCACTTTGGTGTGTTATCCCGAGTCAACTGGCATGCTAAGCATGACATGGATCATGCTTAACCAAAACAAATACCAAGCGTGCTTACTTGGCCAAAACAAACATAGTGTGTCCTTCATTGTTTAAAAATATTGTATGTGTATATTGAACACTCTAAGTGCCTTGTGTTGGCATGTTGCAAGCTTGTGGTCACCTTTACCCCTGAAATCATATGGAGGGTCACATATTGTACTGTTCAATATATGATGATAGTGGGAAAATACTGCACAAAACACATAGGACAGGTACTGGCAGCTTACATCCTTGTGTTGGTTTTATGGCTTTTGTTTCACATACAGTTGCTGTAATGGTTGTGATAACAAGTTTTTCTTTGATTTTTTTATCTACCAAATAATACCTGTTTCTCCTCTTGCAGAAGATTGCTCCACTCCAAACCAAGTATCTTTGTTATTTCTGAAAACTGTAGATGAGGATGTTGTTGTTTCACCTCAGCCCGTCGACTGTTGATAAACCTCACATACCTACACATCAATAACCAAAGCTAATTATTTTGAAAAGAACAAAATTCTCAGTAGAAAAGAAAAGAGCTGAACAGAAATAAAACTTTAAAATACTCAATTGGTGGGCAACATTTTTAATACGATTGTAATTGCAGTGCCAGGCTGTACAAATTTAAAGGTAAGTGATTTGGCAACATACAGTGTACTTTAAACACGGCTCTTTGCAAAAATAAGTAATGATAATAGGGGTAACTGGATTCCTTTTTGTTATTCATTTTAATGTTTTATCTGACAAATAAGACCAGATGACCACTAAGTAGGAGTATGACTAAATTAAAAAAGACTTTTTAATCCCAAGATTTTATGATGAAATCTTCCTTGCAATGGCTATACTTTTCCTGTCAAAGTAATAAAGGGAACTAGGTAAAGATAATTAAGACCTAAACTGACAAGTTTGTCTCTTTTCTGCACCTGTTAGTTAGATTAAAATACAATGCACATTCATTTACATTACAATTAATCTACTGAAATTGTGTGATGAAGCTACATGCTGATAACTTCTCAGATTTAAAAGGTATAAATGGTGTATTTAAACATGCATGGCTAGCATCTCAAAGCTACATACACATAACTTTGTAATTTGTTGGTTGATCTTTACATCTTAACAAACAGAAACTCAATTATAACCTAAAAGAATACATACCCAGTAATTGGGGCTTTTGGCTTATTTAAATCACCAAATCCCTTCTTCCTTTTTTTACCTTTAGGCCAACCACCTTTTCTTTTCTTGGTTGGAAAAAAGAACAGAAAAGAACAGTTAACGTACAACTCAAGAAATATAATGGGCAGGAGGTTTGTTTGCTAAAAAAACTGTGCACAAGGTCTTGAGTATGGCCTGAGGCACTTAAGACCACAGGCACAGTTTTTTTTCATACTAACAGACCAGGACTGGTAACAACATTAATTTAATTTTTTTCTGCTGGTTTGCTTTTTACCCCTTTGATGCAAATAGAATGGAAGAAAATTTTAGTCTTGTCCTTAAAATAGAAAGTTAGAATGGTTACAAGTGCAGGATAATAGCCTATCAGATTCTAGGATTTAAGATTCCACCTCACTGAGATGCTTCAGGAAAATAAATACTTTGATTAGTTCTAATAAACATGCATGGAATATATATTTGATGCAATCACAAACAGAATAATAGTAACTTGGAAAAATATCCAATAAAAAACTAGTTGTATTTTAAAGCAATGTATACTGCATATTGCCAATTAACACTCTCCTAGGATAGTGTTAGTCAGGAAGTGAATTATGCATTTGAAAAGCTAATCAAGTTAACTCTATTTATGATTATGCAAGACAAAGCTTCTCTCACCTTAACCCCTGTGGGTGCAGTATTTGATGCTTCCTCTGCTAACACACTACCCTCTGGGAGAGAAGTGGAAGGTGGTAGCACATTTATGGTTAGTTCATTAGGATCTGTGACATTTGATGAACTGGGAGTGACAGATGTAACATCATCTTCATTGTTTAAGTCAGTGTTTTGTTGAATTGAATCACCTTGCTCAGGCTGCTGGACAGCAAACAACTGGCTTTCAGGAACTGTCACAACTGCTACTTGATTGTTAAGCACACCACCTTGAACAAGAAGAATCATTACTGTGGTGCACTGTACCCTTTCAAGGAACAATGAATGGCTTACATTGTTTTGCCCACATAACAGCCAGGTTTGCATAAACTGCATCTCTTTTCAAGCATGAACATTTCAAGTTTTTGACAGAACTCCCTGTGCTTTTAAACAAGAAGAGCACATGTATTGAAAGTGTTGTACCAACTTTTTAATATTTCAAACTGCATACCATCAGCAAAAGGCAACTTCACATTTCTGGTAAATCCTTTCATGTTCATCAACTTTCAATCATCAGAGTTCTGAGAGCAATGAGGCAAACCAGCTTACCAGAGTGTAAAATTGGTTCATTAGTAAAACAAACCAGTTTTTCTACACAAACTTGATTGTAATATTGATCGTTATATTGTTATATTTGCCATTCATGGTATCTTTAAAATAGCGGTATGTACAAGTACAGTGTTCATGTGCAAATTTAATACTAGATCAGTTGAAGTCTGGTGTTTACATTGTAGCAAGATATCCCAAGGTTGTAAATTTGTAGTTTTACTTCTGTCAACTGATGTTTTAAGTTTTAATGAAAACCCCCTTTGTAGACATCTCTCTAATATGAACCCCTCAGAGTTTCCTACTATATCCCATCTAAATTTGGGCACAACATTTTCTTTTAAATAAACCTCTATAATATGCACCAAATGTTCCTAACAAAGAGAATAGGCACTAGATCACAGCCCAAGGGAGCAAACTGTGAAAAGTCTATTACAAATGCTAAAGTGATCAGGTGTTCATTGTTGGTGATTACAGTATGTGATAAAAATTCCTGTTTGTAGTTACACAAACATGAACTATTCTCTATTTAAACCACCAAGCCTTACAAAGGAAATTACAGTTACTGCAGTTAACAGTAGCCAATCAAAACAAAAACTATAATAATTTATATTCAATGGAAAATTCAAAGTGTAATTGATTTGATGTCCATACAGTTAATACCAAGAACTTTTTCCAATAACAAATTAAAGTACAAACTTTTAGAATGCTGAAATGACTTCAATATATTAATTATTATAAATAGCTTTTAAAAATATTTTCATCTATTCATCATTTTCCTGTCTCACACTCTCTTGAAAGATGATTTTCAACATTGAAATGCAGAATTAATTTTATTTTTAAGTTCATTGTGGTGTTGCTGTTTGTTTCTTCTTCTGAGACACCTTCTCAGTAATGTATATCAATAAAGATGCATGTTTGTGTCCATTTTTCAAGTAAAAGTAGACACTATAAACAGTCAATGCAGTCGTAAAAATGATGTCCTTGCAGTGAACCTTGTTAACTAGTCACCACTCTGGTATGGATAAATGTACATGTACATGTACTTCATTCTAGAAAGACACAACTGCCACAGTATTTAAAAATCAAAGAACAAAAATTGTGCAAGGTAAGTTCTACACTTACCTGGACAAGTGAGAGCTCCACTTGAACTTACAGCAAATGTTGCCACTCCGTTACCTGATATTGTAACACCCCTTGAATAAACAAAATAAAGGGCACTACATTAATTTATACCACAGGCAACTAACAAAGGCCACCTTTGTGCTTTTCTATTCAATAAACCACAACATGTACATAACGTGGTACTTAATAATTATGTTATAATTGTTTAAAACACAAATCAGATGTATACAGTGTGAAAACCATGCTCAAGTAAGTTTTTTTCCTGAGAGGTCAACATGAAATATAGTTTATAATCAAATATTAAATAACTTAAAGTAAGTTTCTAGAGAAATTTTGGTGATGCATCAGTGGAAGAGTATAACAGGGTAATACAGTGCTATCAACTGAGTTGAAAACGTAAAGTGACCTTCATTAAGAGTTTAAAGGCTGGTGTTTCAAGTGTTAGCTCTTCATCAGAGCAATTGGAGGGATTGTGGGTTGTGTGTGGGTTTATATACAGAAAATGGAGTCAGTGGTTTATAGTCATAAGGAAAAAAAATTAAATTAGTTGAATGAAAAGCATCTGTCGATGCCATGGGGTTAAGAGTGCCAATTTTGGAAGATATCTTCAAAAAAAAAAACAACAGTTTAGCCTTTGCACTTTCACTTGTGCTTATAACCAACAACGTTCTTTTGAGAAAAAAGGTGCATAGTGCTTTTCATGTATGGCAAATGCTTTGCATTAAAAAGGAGAGCAAATCCCTAAAATTTTCTTCAGTTTTAATGTAACCCTTTGCCACATAAAGAATTAAGATCCTGTTTATGATTTTGTTGGTTTGTTTGTTTTTTAACAGTGCAAGTGGTTAGGTTTGGAAGTGACCTACAGAACACATGTAAGGGTTACTATGTATCCAAGTGAGTTCTCTCACACGGGCAAGTTAAAGCAGCCACTATCAGCAGCTCAGTACAGTACATTTTGTTAAGTTTTTCACCCAGTGTGTGCTACATGTATGATGGTTCACATGTACCAAAAGACTAGTATGCACACTTGGGATGCGAGATAGCAATGATTATGAACGACCTCTGAAGAAAACAGATATTTATGGACTTAACCATACATTGTTCACGTCTGAAGTGATAGCAAGCATGGTATCTATCATTACTAATAAAAACTACACTGGCTTCATTACGTTTAGATATTTAGAGCTCTACTAGAGAATCAGTCTCTAAAAAAGTTATTTGTAAATAACTAAAGAAATCAGTAGAAAGGGGTTTCTCTGCCGCGAATCTTTTGTCTTGTTGAGATCCACAACCAATTATGATTATTCTCTGTAAACTGAGGACACGTACCTTGACATATCTGGGTAATTTTGAGTCACAACAACCTCGGCAAAACAATTCACTGACGATGCAGCGGTTTCAAAGCTTGTCTTGTCTCCCTCAGATTCTTGGTTTGAAGAAAACGTTGGCATAAAGCTCAGCTCTGACACAGGAGAATTCTCCATTTTAAAATGGGTCCGATGGGTCCGCGCTTACTATAGTCAGTGGTATATGTACTTACGTTGTGTATGACTATTAAGACTGTCCGAAAAATAGCCAACCGTCAGACTCATGCGAGTAGGGGGGCCATAAGCGCAACGAAACTTTATTTACTTACAAATCAGATCTCAAAAAAAATCAAAAAGAAAAAAGGCTACGAAAAGCTTTTGAAAAGAAAGCGCGACATTCGCCATTTTTTCTCCAAGCTATTTTCTTTTCGCTCCGTGTTTACTGATGCATAGAAGTCCAAAAATTTTGTCACCTTTGATTTCATCTTAATTAATCTTAATTATCACTAAAAACCTCTTACTGTCTCGTTTTATGAGTGATAAAGTTGGAGAGTGACGAGTTTCATCCAGCATGACCCTTTTTTTTTTCACTCTGTCGGTTTCAGAATTTCGGTTTTCTAAGGCTTTTATTGATACTGTTAATTCACCCCAGAGAATTATCAGCAACCCCTTGGACTTTTGTTATGTCGTCGTGTTTAATTTGCGAGGTGGATTCGTTGTTCAATTATTTTTCTCTCATATTAACAGCTAGTTTACTCCTGTGGGACACACCTTTTGTTGATCATGGTGCAAATTGCTAACACCATTAATCTTGTTTTCTTAGAGACCGCTTCTATTGTTTGCACCTTTTTTGTCACTAAGTAGAAAGGCATAGTTTTATTTTGCGTCGGATAAACAATTGTGTCATTGGAACTTCTGCCATGAGCACAAGTTTAATTGAATGATGCAGGAAAACAAACCGCCAAAGAAAACAATACAACGAGGGAAGTTTTCAGTGTCAAGGTCTTTCTCCCGTAAGAACGGTGGCCACCAAAGCGAAACCTCGTCTCATGTGTCGAACTCATTACGTGATCGATTTGCTCTGCCAGAGAAACATTCGGAGCAAGCGGATGAAACAACCAACAAAGCCACGATCGCTTTACCGAACCTTCCTTCCATATGTGAGTTTATAATGTTCTCAAACAACCGGCCAACTACGCAACCTGCAAAGCAGTTGTGGCCGCTCACAAAACTTCCACCCATGTATGGTGGCAACACGAGACAACGAAACACAGCTAATAATATGAGAGTCACAATTAACTCTGCCAATTATGGACTAACAGAGCATAAGAAAGCACTGGCAAACAAAGGACCTGTTACGTGCTCTAAAAAAGACATCCGCATGGAAATAAAGGGCAAATTGCCTGAAGACTACCGGAATCCCACGATCAAAGAGACCGAAAAAAGAATTTGGGATTGGTTAAGCGAATCAGAAGAACACCAACCGGCCTATATGCGGCGTGCATACACTTTTAGAAAAACTATGGAATCGAACCAGTCGGATGACACGCAACGTCAAATATTTCAACAAAAGTCGACCCTAGCACAAAAAAATTAATTTACACTCAGCTAGAAGTAAACTTATTAATGGCGCTTGAGTTTTTTATGGTTTACTCACTAAGAAAATTTACTAACTTCTTCTTTTGTGTTTTCCATGTGGTTTGTTAATTTTTTCGTGGTTTATCTAAGTCTGGATGTTGTTTTACACACAACGAAAAATGAAACTGTCATGAAATTTTCCTCTTGTAAGTTATCATCAAATTTTCTTACAACTAGCACGACAGGTTTCATAATGAGGATATCTAAACACTTCTAGATACTAGTTCTGTACCAGTTCTGTGCTAGTCATAAATTCAAGTAAAATATGTCACTCATAAAAAATAAGGTACACAAAGAGCTTATTCTTAGCGAATTTAAAAACTCAATTAACCAGTCAAGCAAACAACAAACTGCCTGTAAAACAAATTGTAAAGCTTATGGTCAGTGGTTAACGACGTTAAGGTGTATTGCCAGTCGAAGGCACTCGTCGTCTGATCTGGTTTGTTTTCTTTAACTGATTTCCTTTTGAGACAATTAAGCCAATGGAGCGATCCTATCCCGGAAATGTTCTTAGTTGAGGTAGTCTGGCGTAATGTGTCTCTCAAGTTGTAAGTAAACAAGTTAAAGGGAGTGAAATAAAATTGAGGTGGACCAAAGAACAAAAGAAGTATTTGACTTTTTTTTAAAAAAAACAGTTTCAAAACTTAATGGAATGTTTTACCCGCGCACTAGTAGACACAATAGTTTATTGAAACCACAGAAAGCCGAGACTAGCTTGTGCCATATATAAATGTTGCCGATTTTTTAAAATGTTTTGCACTACCTGCATGTATGCTTGACTAGTTCTCACATGGGAAATTAGGTTGATGGAATTGTCCTTTATGTGAAAGTTAAGTGCAAAACGCTGAAATGGTGATAATAACTTGCGTATGCTAATGATACCGAGGCCTTAAAGCCAGCATTTTGAAACAGTCCTCTTCGCGTCAAGGCGTTGTCTATGCTTACAGAATCAGATGACATTACTTGTATTTCTTGAAGCTCCTATCAGATTTTTTTAACACAAGCACATTCATTCTCCTAAATAAAGACTGAACGCTATCAATATTATCATAGTGAAATTAATCGTACGTAAGAATTAAATCAAAGGTACACTTACGAACACTGATGAAGATTGAATTGGTGACCTTTAGTATTTCTAAGCCAGGAATTGCCTCCCGACAGCTTGAAAGAAGAATTTAGAAGTAATTATATATCGTGTTTTAATTTTCTCAATGACTTTGTTTATTGATATAATTTCATGATTCTTTGTTTCATTGTTAATTTGATTGTCAGAGTTATATGAAGACATAAACATGTGACAGCATTTCAACCAGGTACCTGAAATCTCCTTTCGTTTAAATTTCTAAAAAATTTTTTTGCCATGTGCTTTACGAGAAAGAATAAAATATATAGTAACAAAATCCTGGTGTAGGCGAGACAGAAGTACTTCCTCATGTTCATAACTATATTATGAGCACGAAACTCTTTTCAACATCAGCAGTAGCGTATATCCTGATTTTTGCTTCAAGTTTTGGCTCGATATTCGATGGTAAGTAAGGGAAACGGGGAGCCTCTAATAGCTTATTGATTATGGTGATTATTTTCAGAACTATAAAATATAATACATTAAGATAATAAATTGTCACGCGATTCTGTTTCTTTTTTGTTTAGATGAAAACGAAAGTCAGGAAGCATCTGCCGCAGATTTGCTTGAGCTGTACGATAGACAAATGCAAGGTTAGAGACAGACATATACAATTTTGTTAAGAACTACAAATAAGACATGTTGTCATGTCTGAAGACATAAATGCTAATCGAATTCTGGGCTGTAGATTTGTGCAGGCATTCGTTCTTATGTTAGCAATTTCATACGCCTGCACTCACTGAATGCCCCCACCCCCCGATCGTTATCAATCTGTCAAGTCGGCCGGTCAACCGTCTTGCATTTGTATCTGTTTGTATTTCAATCGCTCTGTGAATACATTTTTCCCGAGTCTGCAAAATATCCGTGACTGTGCGGTGGATAGCTTTACCCACCCGTCCTTTCGCAAAATCAGAGCCTAGCCTTTATATTTGTAGGTTAACAAAATCGAGCGTTGATTCGTGAGTTGGCTTAAGCTTGCGTTCTTTTGTTCATGGCAGCGGTTGGGATGGCAAATAGTCGTAACTAATGGTTCATCTATTCCAACGACTCTCCCACCTATAGAAATTTTTAGGATTGTTTCAATACTTTCGATATCATTAAAAGGACTTATTAATATTGTTACAAGGTGAAAGTGAAAGTTTTAAGAGCATAATGGCCCGCGTGCGTGAACTTGAAAAAAACTTTGATCGATATCCGCTTGGCACTGTTGGCTTATGCTATTGTTTATTTTCATTTCTGACAAACGCTTATGAGTGAAATAGAGGCATTTGGAGAGCTGAACCTTGGGAAAGATTACTTTGAAGGTGACATGCTATTAACAAAGCACCAAAGAGACAGCATCCAAAAGTATTGGCAAGACACGGTCGATAACACACCAGTGGAGTGGGATTTCCTGCAGAATGGTTTTCTACAACTTTGGCTAAACAATACGGTGCCATACACCATAGCACCAAAAATGCGTAAGGCAGCTTAATTAAATTGAATTCAAATATATAAACAATTCTATGACCAATTCAACTTTGTCCTATATGGTGAAAATGGTAAGAAATGATCAGTGACGGTCACAGTAATGGAATGTATTTTTTTCACTGGACGGGAGGCCCACAGGAACATCGTGCCTGGAACTGAATCACGTAAGCTTGACTCTGGACTGAATCGAATTCCATAGAAAGAAACACCCAATTCTACAGTTCCTTAAGTGCATATGCAAATGAGACGCACATGCCATGCGTTCACTAATATACATCGCTGTCTGTTATCTATTAAAACATGTCAGGTCATAAAGAAGGTCATAAACAAACTTTTGAAGAAGAAATTATTCCCAGAGCCATATGTTTTACAATCCAACATAATGACGAGCTGAGATTAAAAAAAATAACCTAAGCGGTCGTAAACTTTCCAAAATTATTGACTTCGAACGTCACAACTTTGAATCTTGCTCTGCAAAGCCTACCTGTAAAATAATGTAGTCTCGCACTCTTTTCTATCTCTTGGTGAATTCTTTGAACAGTATCCTAAAGAGCATTATTGAATCAATTTATGATTATTTACGACGAGTCGAAAAATAGCGCTGCTGATTGTGAGTGTGCTCTCCGCGTCGGTTCCCGCCTTGAATTGTGTGCGGCCCGCGTTGGTTCCAATTCCCGCCATTTAAGTTGAACTCACTTTGAGATTTCTGACATACTCCGGAAGCGCATGCGTCCGCGGCCGGCCAGGTTCCCAAGGATCGTTCCCAAGTTGTATGCAAAATGGCGACTTCCGGTAATTTGGTGTTAATAACTGAGTTGAAAACGAAAATTCGCCACCATAAAGAGTTTAAAGGCTGACGTTTCGAGCGTTAGCCCTTCGTCAGAGCGATCGCTTTACGGTAGCCAATTTACTTTTTCAATTCAGTTGTTCACACTAAATTATCTGACGTTTAATATACTTTTATTGCAGGCGAGGCGAGTCTCACAAACATTCGTGCAGCTATCAAGGAATGGCAAGACAAGCTTTGTATCGTTTTCAAGGAGCGGAGGTTCGAGGATGACTATGTGGAGTTTGCATATGAGGGAGGGTAGGTAATAACTCCAAAAAAGGCAAGTAACGCTCGTGAATGAATAAATGCAGAGCTGGTTAAGAAGAATTTTTATGTTAAAGATTATGAATCGTGTTCACTTCGCAAACAGTACTTTTACGATTTTGTTCTTTGTTCCCAGCTCTTAAGTTTTTCTCTTTATGTTTTCAATAGTTAAGATTTCAAGCCTAAGTCTCCTTAAAATTGTTAAATTAAAAGCGATTATGCGATTATAAAAAGTTGTGCTGGTCAAACGAAACCATTTCTTCTCATTCAAACTGCATTTTAGTATTCATGCGATATGGTGATTATATTTGTTTGTAAGTTGTTTGTTTTGTACGTAAGGCTTTTACGTATTTTTTTTCTAGTTGCTCTTCAAGTATCGGCCGCATTGGAGGTCGTCAAGTCGTATCTGTGGGATCTGTTGGAACCGAATATGCAGACATGTCCTGCAGGTCTCCTACGCCTTACGGAAGCAACGTGACTATCACTTGTAGTAAAGGGAGCATAATGCACGAGATTGGGCATGCACTTGGCTTCTACCACGAACAAAATCGACCAGACCGTGATATGTACGTTACAATAGTTTGGGACAATGTGATGCCGGGTAAATTAGACTGATTTATTAAGTTTCATTTTTTTCTTTGTTGTGGAATGTAACCTCCTCTCATTAATTGATGAGTGAATAAGTGATAAAGAGAGATAGTCTAGCGATGTAAATGTCTTCGTCATATTTATCTTGACAGGGTGTAGAGTCAATTTTAGGAAAGAGCGTTTTCTGACGATTTATGGGCAGGATGTCCCATACGACTACAATTCGGTGATGCACTATGGTTCTTTCTTTTTTGCCCGTGAGAGAGGTATGAGGACCTTACACGCAAAGGTTAAAGGTGTAAACATTGGACAAAGAGAAAGACTAAGCTCTTTGGATATTCAGAAAGGACGGTTGCTATATCAGTGTGATAAGGAAAGGGGTGAGCAGCGTATTGTGTTAATCTTTTTCATCGCTTAATTTGCGTAGAATTATTTTTTAGTTTATATTTCCAAGTTTTTTAGATTTGCGTAGTGCGATGCAGGTCTAGAAAACTTGTGCCTTCCTCTGAATCAATGAGCAGAAAAACTTAAATCAATGCATGCAACTATGCTATTCGAGTTTTCCGGCGATTCCTCATTAACCCATTGTGATATTTTCCTTTGCTTGGACTATCGGTTGTAATTACTTTGGTTTTGCTTCTATTACACCTAGTTGAAAACTGCTTATTTTATTAGAATAGCAAGCCGAGTTCAAGCTAATATAAGTGAGCTGGCTGGTGGGAAACCTTTTGGGCACGACACTTTGAGTCTGGAATAATGAAGAGGAAGGAGAATGAGGAAGATTTAGGAGAATAAGGGGTAGAGAAGGGAAGTAAAGAGAAGAGAAGAGGAGATGAGGTTGGGGCAGTCAGTGGGGAACGAAATCGCATCATGGGAGGGCAATAAGCTGTCGAGTAAATTTTGTATCGCTTCTGTTTGGTGAAGGGAATAGTCTGTTTTATATTTTAAACTGTTCACCAGAATGACCGACAAAAATGATCTCTTCAAGTACTTCAAAGAGTTCACTATATATTTCATTTGGAATAGGATAAGGACAGAGGATCTCGGCCCAGTTGCTCAAAGGGTAGATAACGCTGTTCAGCGGATAAGTGTAACCAAAACGTTTTGTGCTATCCAACGGATAGAGATTTATCCAGTTGGTAGCCTTATCCACCCTTCGATCAACCAGAGCTTGGTCTGTAAGGAGTGAGGATCTGGTCTGCGAGTTCATTAATGTCTCTTCATGACTGAACTGGTCTGGTCAGCGATAACTGACATCGATTGTCATTACTGTAGAGAAGATGAGACGACGAATATGAGACTTCTATGGAGAAGTATGCTTCAGAAACCATGGATCTTTATCGCCACCATTTGAAAGTATCCATGAAAATAAACTATCTACCGCAGTTTTAAGATTTTGAGGAGTTTCCTAGCGTTTGAAAATTGTCTGCAAACATGCTGAAAATTCCACTACTGATGGAAACCGCCATTTTGAAAACAAGCCAATAAAAACAGCTCAAAAACAGCTGCTGCCCTGTTTACCAAAAATAAAATATCGTTATTTTATTGAAGTGTAGCTCATACTTGCTCAAGTCGAACGTCACGAGATGGAAAAGATAGGTTGGAGACTTTGTTACGATTAAGGTAAATGGCCAGAGTGCGAAGCATATTCAAAACTGTATGGCGAAGTCGAACTTTTGGCAAATTTGAAGACAACTTTCCGAAGGTCAAAACACGGTCAATGTCATAAGTTCATATATACTGTTTAATGGTAGAGATCAAAGTTTATGTGGTCACTGAAGAATACTTGTTTTTCAAGACAGCTGATACTCAGACGAGAATTAAGTAAACTTTGAACAGAACATCATGGACTCAATTTTCTCACGTGTTGCCTTTCTAAACTCTCTTAAAGGATCGACAGTGGTTGGAGTCAAGTAATGTGATGCAGAGTCCGGCCGGTCTTTGATAAAACGTGTAAAAGAAATCGAACAACCTGAATTTGGAGTCACTTCAGACATTGTGGAGCCTATTATGCATGCGGATTTAGGAGACAGGCTGATATATAGTTAACGCTTAAAATTAAAACTTCAGCCTCATTAATATCAGGTGTAATTAAAGAATGAAAGAAAATACTGTTTCGCCTCTTAATCGTTACCATTCGCCCATGAATCATTGCAAAGATAAAATTGAAATTTGAAAAAACATATTTTTAAAATGTTTCTTATTTTAAAAAGTGAAATCTTGGTAATTTCAATTAATAAGCTAGAAAATCTTTAACCTCACCTATAAGATTAAAGAGAATGTACCACCTACCATTTGTAACTATGTTTAAAAAGGCTCCATTTGTGAGCACCCAGAAAAACTAAACCCACTAGCAAGTTATAAGGTTATCAGCCGGGGAGGAAATAAAATAAGTCTCAAATCAATAGTGTTGGGGTTAAGGTACAACGGCGATTGCAACGAGAATGCGGTGAAACAAAACGTTTCATGTGCAGAACAATGGCTCAACACGTATGGTTTAAAACTTTACAAATTTCTAGGATGTTTCCGCAAATTACCATCGCAATTGACTATTTAGCGTATTCTCAGAGCGGAAATCTCATGCTAACGGTACGTGAAGAATCATGTAGTTATCTTAAGCTAAACGCTGCCCCAACTTGTAATGAAGAAGAGGGGACTACCACCATTCCATTCGTCCAATGTTTGAGACCATCTGCGAATCTTCAACATAACTGTCACTTTATTTTTCAAATCGACATGTTGTTTAACGTCACTATTGAGACAGCTTTAAAACTTTCTTACATCGCAGCAAGTCGGTGCCAAATAATTCTATGACATAATATATCAGTATTGGGTATCATTAGCTTGAATTTGCCTCCTGACCTAAGACCTCTAGTTCAGCGAAATGCTTTTCCACTTTGATTTCATAACTATAGGACATAAATAACTTGATAAAGCAATTACTTCACTTGACTAGCATTGTCTATGTCGTGTGAGCATTTTTCATACCCTTTAAGACAAGACAATAAGGAAGCTCAATGCAAGCATTTTATGCTTAAATTAGACATTGTCTTTAAGGCCCTACAATGGGATACCAGTCGTAAGTGATCTCAAGCATGAACCAGTACCTGCTTAACAACATTGCTGGTGAACCAATCGCGTTGTTTGCTGTTTTACGCTCCATACATTCTCTTTTATTTTGTGGACCATCTTTCTAAAACGAAAATCTTAAAGGGAAAACTTCCCTTTCAGATATCCCCGGTGCAGGTGAAAGAAAATTGAATTTTTTAGCAGGTAAGATGCCCTTTTGATCTTCATATTTTTTTATGAAATATATGTTGGTTCCAAATTAAATGGACTCGTAATTTCTACGAATTCGCTGAATGGCTGTGCTTCACCGTATTTCAACTGCAATTTTAACTGTTATATTACTACAGTCCCACACTTTATGCTTGAAGTTATCATGTATGAGGCGAATTAACTGTCAGTGATCAATTACGCCTGAAAATGGCAATGATCTTATATTCGACATTCCTTGTGGCTCCATCTGTCAAGTAAAATCTTTCAACGATCATTTGAGGCAAATCAATGCCTATAGGGGATTTACACAATAACGTTTTTTCAAGATATACTCATTTTTTCCAATTTGAATTTTCTTTTCGGAATTCCGTAGGAAGTCGTTCCAAAATTCCATTCTTTTCATTGTGATTTGCCTGCTTAGTGGCCAAATGATACCTGCAGTTTTTACTCTGCCGAGCACCATTTGGTACCAGCGCTTTTGTTGTCTTTCCATTTTTACGCTTTTGAGAAGTACAATAAAAACACCGACTCGAGAAATAAACAGAACGAATCGAGTTCTGAAATATTCATTTTTTTCTTCTTTTCAATGATTTGGTCAAACTCAGTGAGTTTGTATTGCACCGAAACCTGAGTTTGTAAACGCACAGTACTTTCTGAAATGGTTCAGCGAGTATTTGTGGGAAATATAGAATGTGCTACTGTTAACTTCATTAATTTTTTTCGGTTCCATGAAGCCGCATAAAACCCCTTGCCCTCCCTCCCCCATTTTCTGTTTAATTATTTTCATTGACTCTCCAACTGTTCAATTGATGCAGTTCAGTTAAAAGAAAGTTCTCGTGGGACAGGCCAACCAATCAGAACTGTTGAGAATTACTCAAATTCGAGCTGTCTGTCAATCGTGCAATTACTAATGTATCAACCAATTTTTTAAAATTTTTTTGGTCATTGTTTTGTGCTCTCAAGGAACAGGAGGGAAAGGATGAGAGTTTTAGGCCTTCCAGTTTTTGTTTTGTTAATGCAAAACATTTTCATATGCCGAGGTAAGAGTGTAAACATTGTATAGTTGTAGATTGTTTTAATCATGTGGTTACTCCTCTTGCTCCAGCCACGAGCCGATTAATCCGGCTGAAACCGAGCAGGAATAAAGAAAATGAATTGAAGAATGAAAAACTATATATACTCTTAAGGAAGATAAATAAAGCCAGGATGGAGGACTTGAGAAGAATATTTGGTATCAGGAAGTAATACGAAAGCAATAATTTCCTTGCTCAATTTACCTAGTGTACAAGCCTTTAATTCTTCATTTTAAAGAAATTGCTTGATTGTAACTGCATTTATTAAAACATATAACAAACTTCATTCATGACACAGTCCTTTCGGGGTGCATTTACTTCTTAAATATTACCTTACGTTAAAGTAGTAATGCATTTGGGCTTTTTTTTTCTCCCTCAGCCACTTTAAGTGAACCAGACAATTCTACAGATTTGGATCCATCCATAGACCCCGCGAATCTGAAAATGTACGACCAAGAAATGGAAGGTGAACGATAGCTGTTACTTGCTTTACCCTAATAGTAAAATAATGTTGGTACAATCGTAAAGATAACCGCATACCGAAAATCTTTGTCATTATCGCCATTTTTTGTTAGGTCATCGACATAGCTATCCTCATCAGCAGCGTCATCATCGTCGCCATTAATATGATAGATGGTGACGCAAAAAATTGCTTAAATCCTTTAGTTTCTACTCTTTCTTCTGGGTGAACGAGCCAAAACTAACACAATATACATTTCCTGCTATGATTTTCTTAGCGATAAGTGTTTATCCGGTGTACCATCTTGTAAGAAGCTTACACAGTGATATTACCTGACCAGCATGCCTGGCAAAAGACGAATAGTCCATAAACAGGTAGATGTGATACGACTACGGTAACATTTTCTTTAATGCCACTTTTTCCAGCAACATTAGGAGAATTAAATCTTGGAATGGATTACTTTGAGGGAGACATAAAGCTAACCCAACAACTTAGAGACTACATAAAGGCCTCTCGGGGAAGAAACATTCTCCAAGCCAGAGCACTTATAAGAGATGAACGAAAATTGTGGCCTAATGGTGTGGTGCCATATGCGCTTGCTAGTGATCTGAGTAAGTAAAATCAGCTACCTTAAAACAAGCAAAAGCGTTTGTGCTCTAGGCCTTTGCAGATTTAGTAGAGAGGTCTCCTCTCCTAAATGTGGCCTCAGTTTTAAGCCCTTTGCCTCTTACAAATTTTTCATATAAACAAAAAATATTTCATTTTGTCATGGCGCTTCAAATTGTTTTGCTTTTTGTTTGTTCCAAGCTCTCTTTTAATATATAACGGGGTAAAAGTGTCAGAGTGCACCAAAGAGGGAGGCGAACAATCTCCCCTTAATCTTTCTAGCTTTTTTTGCGTCATTCTGCCAGTATTATCGCCCTATTTTTCAAATCAACTGAACACCTGAAAGAGGTACGCGTCCGTATGCATCTCTCATAATTCACCTCCGTTATGTGATAGGGGGCGAAATCTGAGGATCTATTTTGGGCTCGTTATGTTTAACAAAATAGTAGAGGGTAAAGGTCTAAAGTGGTATTTCATCGACTGAAAGTATACAATCAATTTCAGCCTCAATGATAATTAAGGGTGGGGGAAACACAAAGACCATAAGAACGAAGCTATGGGCCTGCAAATTTAGGTTCGAAAAAGGAAAGAAGGTGGGCAAAACAGAAATCGTCCCGACACTCGAAGGGAGCAAGAGGTTTAGGTGACGGCTTATGAAATCATTTATGAAATTACTTGGGGATGTGAGTGCAATGCACCACCATTAACCCCTAGATCTTAACCTTAATTGTAACTCGTTACTGTGATGTTACATTATTCTTCTCTTCTCTAATGAGCCTCCCGCCCAGAACTCTACGTTTGCTCTTCTTCCCCCCTCCCCCTCCCATACCGTCTTGAAACCTCTAGAAATAAATATATGCCACCTTCTTTCGACCCCTTACTTGGCTGATGGTCGTGATAACAACATTAAAAGTTACATTGATCGAAGAGAGAGCGGGATTAGAATCCTATATGCAGGCAAATATTGCAATTGATATCTGTGATTTATTAAAATACTTGAGAGTGGATTTAATTTTAAGATTTGGGAACCAACACGATTCTAATGCTGACCATCATACAGGTACAGAGAGTCAAGGTTACATAAAATCAGCAATACAAGAGTGGGGTGACAACACGTGCCTGACGTTTAGACCTAAAAACGACGCCGACCAGGATTATGTAGAATTTGTCTACGAGGTAGGGTACGTACGAAGCTTATCCTGATGTAACTAAATCTATTAAGCCTGAATTTGGTATCGTAATCACATCTTTCCCATTCTCTTTTCATTGACAGCGTAAACGGAAAGCTGCGGTGATAAACTATCATATCTTAAAGCAAAATTAATAAAACCCCATCGTTATTTTATTGTGACTGCAACACTTTATCCTCCTTTATTTCTGTCGAGTGCCCAAACAACCGCTACCCTCGAAGGCAACGACATGGTCACAAGTGTGTGGAACTTTGAAGAGCCGATTTGCAAGGAATTTGTTTCTTTTTTTCATCTTTTCGCCCTCAGATGCTCCTCATATGTGGGACGTATTGGCGGCCAGCAGACGATTTCAGTCGGAAACGCAGATGGCTCCATTACTTGCAAACACGGTAACCTTGTTCACGAAATTGCTCATTCTCTGGGATTCTTTCACGAGCATAGCCGACCGGACCGTGATCAGTACGTTGAAATTAAGTGGGGAAATATTGAAATGGGTGAGTGTGGAAGAAATTTTAGACAGGTAACAGTTGCACTATAACCGCCTAGTCGAGTATACTAGGCCGGATTAGCACAGGTGTAACGATAATCTTGTCCCGATTGCTGGTTGCGGTGTAAGGGCTATTTATCACTGCTGGTTGCAGTGTAGGGGCCAAACACGGTAAACAATCCGAATCCTACTCTCATGGGCGTAAGCTCAACGGGCGTGAGCTATTAGTTACGTTTGTAAGCAGGATTTTGCCGTTAAGGGGCGTAAAACGATTTCAGTGTTTTTTCACTAGCATTCACAGAGATGCCAGGATTTTTCTCGGTATGAATATATAAATCTTGACAAAAGAGAGGGGTAGGGTATGGGGTCGCATGCGTCCTCAAACCCCTGCTAGCTCCCGTCTTTAGCTTACCGCGATTTTATTCAGAAGAGAATTTAGTGTTAACAACTGGGTTGAAAACGTAAATTAGCCACCGTAAAGAGTAAAAAAGCTGACGTTTCGAGCGTTAGCCCTTCCCCATCGCTCTGACGAAGGGCTAACGCTCGAAACGTCAGCTTTTTTACTCTTTACGGTGGCTAATTTACGTTTTCAACCCAGTTGTTAACACTAAATTACCTGCTATACTCTCCCACCGACGCAGCACCACAGTTTCTTTAGAAACTTACCCCTTTATTCATTTATTCAGAAGAATTTACTTCAGATCGAACTTTTGGAATTTTTTGGTTTCAACCTCCCTCCTCCCCATTTCCTGTCTTTTACATCAGTATGAGAAACACACTTACAAATTGCCGTGGTGTCGTAAAGTGTTGAAAGCTTCTCCCTCTTTTGACAGGTTATCAAAAGAACTTTGAAAAGGAAACTAAAGCTACTGTGAACTCTCGAGATGTGGAATACGACTATGGCTCAGTTATGCACTACGGTGAATTCTTCTTTACGAAGGGTAAAGGATTAAAAACTCTGGAACCAATACAAGACACGTCCGCAACCATTGGTCAGAGAGTCGGGCTCAGTGACCTGGATATAAAACAAGGAAATTTGCTGTATAGTTGCCCAGGTTTGGTCATGGTTACTCTGTTTGTAAAAATTGATGATGGTGTTCCAAGATATCGTTACACTAAATAACGTAATACAGCTTGGGGTCACAATCTTGCATAGAAAGCCTTAATTTCAATCCCTGGGTACCTCGAACCACAAGGTATAAAACTTATTACCCAGGTTCTACATGATTGACTGGTATGTAACTGTTCCGTAGAGGTCTGGGTTCGAGACTAACCGTTTTAAATTTTTTTCTGCAATCGCAGTCATTATGTGAATTGTTTCGAGGAAATCGTACTACCATTTTACCAAGCGTACGGTTTCCGATTGAAACCAAAAAATGAAAACAGATAAAAAAGACTTTTCGACCGCACCTTCATACAATTACGGGTCAAAGATCGAATTTCGATGATGGTACTATTTTCATACTAGCCATCTTCAGAGCCAGATATATAATGAAAGAAATAATATGAAGGAAATGATTAAATAATTATCCTGCAGGATTTTTAATAATACCGTTGGTGTGCATATTTTTATATTTCTGTGCGTAAATTTCGTTTGAGGTTGGTATTTGAATATTTTTGATGCAGGTTATAAAGATGACATAACAAAAGGACATGGAACAAGCCAAGCCCCAGTAGACGAAGAATTGTGGGATAAACCGCTCCGCGAACACGAAGTTAAAGTCCTTAGAAGTAAAGTGCACAAGAAAAACGCCGAGAAGAAAAGCAGTCATCTTCACACGATCTTGAAAAAGAAGGCGGTTCCCAAGAAATCAACCGCGCTAAAAAAGGCTTCTCTTACCAAAACGGAAGAAAGAACAGCCAAGCACTCCAAGCCTGATTCCAGATCAATGGTGTTGAAAGAAAACCAGATAAAACCTCAGTTACAGGAAGTGTACCACCAGGATGACGCGGATATTTTAGAAGGAGATGACGAAGAAGACGATGTGTCTTACTCACGAACAACGAACTCTGCTCCTGAGGGAAAAGGTTTCACTCTTTATCTTGTATTTACAGGAACTTTATACATACATTGAATGAACAAACAAAGAATAATACACTTTTTTGTGGATATCGAATTTCTTTTCTCGTGTTCTACACGATATCTCACAAGTGAGAGCAGCGAACAAGAGAGATATCGATTAACACCGATTGACAGAGCGGTGCGAAAAGCGAGTGACGCGTCAAAACTGATTATCTTAATTTACACGTGTGTAGTTACGGCTTTTGTCAAAGCTGGGAATTCTAGAAGATACCGCAGTTTATATGATAAAATGTATTTTAGTTCGTCGATACTTTGAAATGTGGAAGTCTCTTCACTCATATGCATTCTTGTAACAGGTAACGAGGTCGACTCACTTTCTATGATCACTGTCATACACAATTTAAATACAAAAATAGAAGCAGCTGATGGCATCTCGAGTAGCCTTGATGTTTTCTATGTTTTTATATATTTGGTTCGATATCCCTGTATATTAATTCTTAAAAAAGCTTTGAATTGAATAGCGTAAGCAACAATCTGTTAAAATATTCAATGGAAGAAACACCAAAACTCCACCTTTATTCCGCAGATGTTAGCTCACCTGCGAGTGCCCCAGAAACACCCAACCAACTTGCCACTGATAGAGCAACGTTGGCTCAGGAAGAGGAAGACGCAGTTCAGCAACAGGATAGCGACGAAATAGGTACAGAAACTGCTTTCCCACCCCTTCCCTATTATTTTTCCAAGCTTCACCGTATACGCTTCAGGTCGACCAAAGGTGCGAGAAGCTTATCGAGAAATCTGCCAAGCTATGTTATTGAATGAAAGTTCATCAGTTTTGAAAGGTTTTTGAGTGATTAACCCTTTAAGTATTTCTCCGAAAGCAATCTACCGACATAGAGTCTAACTTACAGTGTAAATGGTTCGTTGTATACTTTCAGTGAACTCTAGGAGGAAAAAAAAAACTTCCTAACCCTTTCACTCCTTATATCTTATTTGCAATTCTCCTTACCCTTTGCCATGCAATTCTTATGATATCAGTTTAGAGAATTTGGTATTGGATGAACTAAGAATCTCCTGAGAATATTTTTCTTTATTTTCATAACCTGTCTTAATATTCTGTCGATAATGTGAGGGTAAATGCTGTCTTGGCTACGCATGAGAGTCAAAGGTTAGAGAAAATGCAGGAACCATTTCTGCTATACCAAACCAAACAATAGAAATATAAGCGTTGTCCGAGACATTCCATCATTCCAATATTAAAATTTTGAAATGTTTTTGTGCCCTTAACCATTAATCTAATGTAATAACAACTTTTTCTTGCTGCTCAATAGGCGAGGAGAATTTAGGAAAAGACTACTTTGAAGGCGACATGATACTGACACCTGACCAAAATGATTTCCTGAGCAATATTAAGAAAGACGACAGCGTGCAACAAGGCTCCAAACGGGCTCTCATTAAGGACAAAATGTATCTCTGGCCGAACGCCAAAGTGTACTATAATTTTGACAAGGGAGTAGGTAAGGGAATGAAACGTTAACCTCACACAATAACATCTGTATGCATATTCCCCATACAGTTCTCTAAACATTTCCCAAGGTGCCGTTAGGGAGAATTTGTTTAACAATTAAGAGTATCTTGGCTCTATCCGGCGATTGTTGTTTGGAACCTTAGAATTCTCACCTCTAGTATTAAACACAACAGAGAAAGTCAGTCTGTATCTTCGAACAGCGACGTCTGACGCCTAGTGATTTCGCTCCAACGCAGATTATCAATTTGTGACTCTGTGTTTCTTTTTGTTGATCAAATACAACTCACCTCAAGAGTAAACGCATCTGGTTTAGATGTAAAATGTACTATCTAGAAAGAAAGAACTCCTAATTTATACAGTGGGTTTTTTATTTATCTTACTTAAGATAGGATAGGAAGGAGACGAGCTCGTGCAGCTATGCGCCACTGGCAGAAACACACTTGCCTCAAGTTCAAACGAGTCAAGAAACCAGCCGACGACTTGGGATATATAAATTTCGTTTTTGAGGGAGGGTAAGTGTTGAAATCTCTTTCTCTTTTACTCAATTTTTCAACTCAGCTGATTTCAGGTTTGTGATTTAAGGTCTTTGATGATGACGAGTAGAGCGGTTTTCGATTTAGTTTCTCAAACCAAATCAAAGCACTGACAACGGCCAATCAGAACTCAGGAAAATATAGCAGCGCGCCAACGAGAGCTCAAATTAAAACTCGAGAAACTTGAAACGCAGGTGACCAAATCGTGATTGGTTTAAGTTTTGCATCTGACTTGTCTAGAGTTTTCTCGACCAAAGTCAGAGCAAAGTTTAGCAAAACTAGAACAAACTGGATAGCTATTACAGCACCCAGATAAATTTTCTCTCTTGAATTTCCTGTATAAGCGTGAGTGAGACATTTTCAGCACGTTTACCTGTCAATCTCACATTGATACAGTTCTTCATTCAGTACGAGTGCTCGTCATAGCAGGCTTCTTTTACACTGACGGATTCTACATTTTATGATTTTGCTAAAGATTGCCTTTTATCTTTTCGGGGATCTGCTATTTAATGGTTAATAAACAATAAAGGTTTTTCACCGAACTTGCTGTAGAAAGTTATCCAGGATTGCGTTGGTTTTCCTCGACTTGGCTTTATGATTGTTTACAGAAATTATGGGTTCCTCTCTCTCTCCTCTTCCTTAATGACTGTATACCTTCCTCTCAGCCAATTAGCATCAGATGATTCAAAGGTAAACTCGCCTAGCAAATACTGAAACCCTGTTGTATTACATCAGTGGAGGACTCAGGAACTAAAAAGACCCGTTTAGAAATGTTCGCTAGTTTTTCACTCGCATTTCCTGCGGTTCACGCGATTTGATTTTTATGGTCTCAACTCGTATTAGTTTCTTTCAATAATTTCATTTGTTCTTATTCAGTGATTGTTGTAATAGGGTCTTTTGTGGTTTTTACGACACTCAATCGAAATGCAGTACATCTTATAGAGTTAAAATTAATTCAAACGTGGAAATTTTGTATACATCGGCAAGTATTGTCTATACATGCCTGTTTTACTCACCTGTTCACTAGCTGTGCTTCCCGAGTTGGTCGCGGTGGAGACAAGGCCCAGAAGCTGACAATTGGAAGCAAAGCGCTGCGGTGTAAAATAGGAAACATAATTCACGAACTGGGTCATGCTGTTGGCTTCTTTCACGAGCACAGTCGACCTGACAGGAATAAATATGTTCGTGTGCTCAAAAAGAACATCCTTCCAGGTAAAGAACATAAGTAACGTCGCTTAAGAGCCAGCGATAAGAGAATATTCATTGATTGTTGCGTTTGTGTCTCGCGCACTCTGAAGATTCTCTTTAGTTTGATCTTTGCGTTAGTGTCGCGCGCACTCTGAGGATTCTCTTCAGTTTGATTGTTGCGTTAATGTGTCGTGCATTCTAAGGATTCTCTTTAGTTTGATTGTTGCGTCGATGTCTGGCGCATTCTAAGGATTCTCTTTAGTTTGATTGTTGCGTTAATGTGTCGTGCACTCTGAGGATTCTCTTTAGTTTGATTGTTGCGTTAGTGTCTCGCGCACTCTGAGGATTCTCTTTAGTTTGATTGTTGCGTTAGTGTCTCGCGCACTTTAAGGATTCTCTTTAGTTTGATTGTTGCGTTAATGTGTCGTGCACTCTGAAGATTCTCTTTAGTTTGATTGTTGCGTTAGTGTCTCGCGCACTCTAAGGATTCTCTTTAGTTTGATTGTTGCATTAGTGTCTCTTGCATTCTAAGGATTCTTTTTAGTTTAATTTTTCGTTAGTTTTTGTGCTCTCTGAGAATTCTCTTTAGTTCAACTGTTTCTTTCGTATATTGTGCACTTTGAGGATTCTCTTTATTCGATTATTTCGTTAGTACGTTGTGCACTCTGAGAATTCTCCCTTTGTTCGGTTGTTTTTTAATATCTCGCGCACTCTAAGTAGTCACTTTGATTTGATGGTTTCGTTGGTATCATATGCACTGTAACGTTTCCTCTCAGCTCAATCTTTTCACAGTATCCGCTCACTTCAAGGATTTAGTCTGGTGCGTTTGTTTCGTTTGTGTCACGCTCACTCTGAGTAATCTCTTTAGCTCATTTTTTTCGTTAGTATTTGTTAGCACTCTGAGGATTATCTTTAGTTCATTGTTTCTGTAGTGTTTACGCACTCCAGAAAATTGTCTTCAGTTCCCTTGTTTCGTTAGCATCTTGCGCACTCTGAGGGTTCCATTTACAGTTCTATTGTTTTGTTTATAAGTCGCACACTCTCTTTAATTTAATTGCTTCGTTAGTAGTTGCACATTTTGAGGATGCTCTTTTTCCGATATTTTGGTTGGTATCTCGCGCACTCCGAGGATTCTCTCGAAGTTCAAATGTTTCGTTAGCATCTAGCCTACTCTGAGTATTCTATATATTTCGTTTGTTTTCTTACTGTATAGAGCACTTTGAAGATTTTAAGTTTCATTCTTTCTTTAGAATCTCGCGCACCCTAAGTAATCATAAAGAGGTGATAGTTTCGTTAGTATCGTGCGTACTTTAAGTAATCTCTTAAGTTCAATTACATCGTTTTGTATGACACTGTGGTTTTCATCAGTTCAAGTATTAATTTAGTAAGCACTAGCCCTTCGTCATAGTGAAAGAAAACACCAAAGCCGAGCGAAAAACTCGGAAGGAAAGAGATTGTATAAAGATGAGAACGATTGACGGAGGTTTGGACAGCATAAAGCGTGACGCTGCTTGTTCCATTTCGCGTAGGTTACGAAAGAAACTTCTACAGATTTGGAAAGAAGTGGATTGATTCAAAGGACGTGCCATACGATTACGGATCTATCATGCATTACAACAGAGCATTTTTCTCCCGTTTTCCTGTCATGCTCGATACTCTGATTCCTCTGCGGCATGTTGATATTGGTCAGCGAAGGGCTCTGAGTAAATTCGACATCCTGCAGGCTAACTTACTCTACCAATGTGATGGTGAGTGTTGTCTAGACTTTTTGCTGCAGTATTTAGCCGGATTTACGAGGCGAAAAAGTCATTGTTCGTAAATATATTTTATTTTATCTTAGTAGATATAACTAAAATAGCCAATAAATAGGTCCGCAATGCATATAGGGAGCTTGCAGACTGGCCCACAGTGGCAAATACAGTATGCGTACAACGGATAGGTGTGTCCTCTGGATTGTCTCATTTTTGACTACTGTGGCTTAGTCAACAAGCCTCCTATGGAACTGTCAGTCAGGTGATTCAGGTCTTACTTTGTAATGATATGTTTGTGGTTATTTAGCCTGTTTTCTTTTCGTTTTTGCTAGGGAGAAAAAAGTTAACTGACGAAGAGATAGAACAGCTCAAACAAGAAAGCAATGACCAAGCTAGCGGGTCGGAAGGTTTGTAAATGATTTTGCTCAGGAACTGAATTGAGATTGGATGAAACTGTGTGATCGTTCACCTTCCTTTTTTCCAGTCGCCTGCGCGGATGTTTACGATCGCGATTCTTGTGCTATGGTGAAGACCCGAGGTTATTGTCAGAAATTTCCGACAAGCATGAGGACAACGTGCGGGATCACGTGTAACTTGTGCGGTGAGTCGATTTATAACACCATCATCAGTACCATATGTTTATCTCTCATCAGACAAGGCGCCATTACCTCCTTGTCAGCATACCTAAAATTTGTGAGCCTGCGAACTGACTCTCATGAGGGCAGCGGTACACGCGTCAATGTCTGCGAGATTCGAGTAGGCGATAGAGCAAACCTGCGAGAGGTTTTAGTAGGATGTGGCAAGAGGACTGGAAATAGAACCCTCGCGGACCTCCCGCCTGCTCACATCGCTTGCCTGCTCGAAAAGTGCAGGCTTTGCCACTCGTGTCGCAGTGCCTATGAGCGTCTGCTCGCATTTTGAAACTCTTATGAAAGGAATGATATCCCTGCCCTCTGATTATTGAGAAGGGAAAATTTAAGGAGAAATAAATGGTAATCTACCGTAAGTGGTGTGCTGTGGATTTACTTTATAACGATAAGTTGTTTCAGCGGTAATTATCAACCACCCAGCTTTTCAAAAATATATGCTCTATCGATGTGAATGCCTTATTTTGTTTCTCTCAGGATATAATAGAATAATACCTGAAGGTCATGTTATAAATTTAAATCTTGTTAGTTAAAAACTAAAATGGATTGCAACTTAACCGAGATATGTTTTCTGCATAACGTGAAATGTTGTTCATTGATTTTTCTTGTGCAGCTTTCCTTTTTAATTTGAATATATCTTTGCCCTAGACAGGCAAAGTAGATATACTTGTAGCGGAGCTCGTAGAGCGTAGCCCCATAATTATACAAAATAGTAGTAACTCATCGAGCCGAAAAAATTTGGATGTACGACCGCACGATCGTACAAGGTGCTACTTTTAACATGCGTGGTCAACTGTACCGCGGGCACGCCAACGCCACGGCTTTGTTCAGTATTCCAGTGGTCAGTGCACTGGGCTCCGAGTCGGACGACCCGGGTTCTAGTCCTGGCCGGGGCAAGGCGTTGTGCCCTTGAGACGTGCGGGAAAAAAAATGCGAGCTCCGCTTTTAGGCTTGGCTAAATCTATATATTAGATTTATTCAACTTGTAGGCAGTAATTACAAGAATTCCCAAAGAGGATTAGGGGCGAGAAAAAAGACCTCAGCCACACATGCGGTGTCGCGTAAAAGTTTGGTCACCAAATTGAAGATTTCTCCACCTAAGGAAGTGACAGGATCTAAAAGAATGGTCCCTGAGAGGAAACCTCAAACTACTTCAGATACTACTGAATTTTGAGTAAGGTACACTTTGTGTACACTTAGTGTTACATAGTGTAACTCTTAAAATGCCCGTTCATTCTCCAGACTTTAAAACTAATCTCAATCCATTCATAGAGTAAAAGCAAAATGAAACTATAGTAAACAAAAAAATACCACGAGGATGGTAAGAAATATGTAATTAAGTGAAATAGTTGGTAAATAAATAAACAAATAATTAAATAAATATGTAATTGAATAAGTAAATGTAAAGGAGTGCGCATGTCAAGATTAAGCTCCTTACTCATAACGAAAATACTAAAAATGAAAGCAATCAATGCACTGAAAACAAAACGAAATTAAATTTCTGTTCAAAAAAAATTAGTCAAACAAAATGAGCTTTAGAGGGAATTGAATAGCATTAAGTGGATGAATAAGTAAATGAAGTAACAAAATAAATACATTGGTAAAAGATATAATCTATAATAAATCAATGAACAAATATGGATAATGAAGATTATTTTACTCGTAGTTAAAAAGCTGTTGATAATAGTGGAACTTGTGTTAAAAATGTAATGCAGTACTACGTGTATATCCATCACAACCCTATGAAGTATGCAATATTCCTATGTGTTTTAGTTGTTAGTGGTAACCAACCGTGTGTTTCGGATATAGATAATTTCATCCATTTTATAGTCTCTTACCACAATACAAACAACTGTGCTACATAACAACTGATGTTCTTACACAGGACGAAATCACATGTTTCCGTATTTCTGAAACGTGG